AAACCCATGTTCACCACCCCACGGTACCAGTAAGGGCCGTGTACTGGCGGAAGACATCAGCAGGTGTGGGCCCCAGCATCAGGAAGACGTCGATGATGCCGCTCTCCGACATCCAGCGCACGTCGGTCTGCGGCGTCTCCCCGCCCCCCTGCATGTAGTCCAGCATCTTTCCAAACAGTGTCTGCCCCGGCACAGAGCAAGTGGGAGGAGTCTTAGTCAGGCACCTGGGGGGGGTCTTAGGGAACCTCCCTGCTCTAGCCCCCACAGCCCTCAGCCTCCTCAAGCCCCCCCCCGTACCTTGCCAGCTGTGTTGGAGCTGATGTCAACCCAGGTCTCGGCAGCATTGAGCCAGAAGAGCCCCAGGGTGCGCTGGACGTTGTGGGCCAGCAGCACAGGCACGGCCCCGTACAGCGCCATGGGCGTGAACAACTCATACTGGAACACGTCCAGGTTGTAGAGGCGGTACGGTTCCCCACCCCTGCAGGACAGCATGCGTCAGACCTGGCTGGACCACCCCCACCCCAGCCCTCGCACCAGGAGCCCCCTCCCAGTCCCAGGGCTCACTCAGTGGTGTGCAGGCGCAGGTTGTCAGCGTGCTCAGGGATGCCGTAGACGTGCTCGAAGCCCGGCAGCGAGAAATCCAGGCCCACGGAGGTCGGCCCTAGAGGGGCACAGCGGGGGCACGACAGCAGATGGAGCGATGGGGTGAGAACCCAGGTGTCCAGTCTCCCAAACCCCCACCCCGGCCTCACCCCCCAGCCCCACTCCCTTCCCAAAGCTAGAAAGAACCCAGGTACCCGGGATCTCACCCCCACCCCGCTGCTCTAACTCTCCCTTCCCAGACAGGGAAAGAACCCAGGTGTCCGGGCTCCCAGCCCTCCCTGCCCAACCTGCACTCCTCTCCCAGAGCTAGAAGGGACCCTGGCAGGCATCAGAGCTCTCACCATTGGGCTTGCTGTCTGTGTGAGTCTTGAACGTCTCCTCCCAGGATCCCGGTTCTTCCTCTGAAGTCTCCTGTCCCTCCGATGTCGCTGACTCAGCCTAGGGTGGGGAGGGCAGGATCAGGGGGAAGCTGTGGGGCAGACACCCTGCCCCCACCACCCCCACAGACAAGTCTTCACCCCCACCTTGGAACTGAGCTCATTGCTCTCGTCCTCCCCAGCACCAGCCGCCTCGGAAGTCTCGGTGTCGGCCCCTCCCTCTGGGACAGGCTCCTTCGTCTCCTCCCTGTAGAAGACAGAAAAACAGAGGAGACTGAGTGCCGGGGGCAGAACTGGGGGTAAGGGCTGCGGGGACCCCCTTCATGCGCACTTCCAGACCATTAGTCACTACAAGCAGAAAACACTTGCACACCAGGTTAGCT